GGCCGGGGCCCAGCTTCACCACTGCTCCCCAGCCCGCAGGGGACCAGTTAGCTGCCACATTTAGACCCTTCCCCTGTCCCTGGGGAGGCTGATGGAGCTGCCTGGATCCGGCGCCTGGCTCCTGCCTCCATTATTTATAAGGCAGGTCGGGTTTCGCACTGGCAGCCGGGAGGGAGCCTGTGGGAGGAGACTGGGCACATACACACACACTCACACTCACTCACACCCTGCCCAATGGGTGACCAATGCAGATAAAGGTGCCCTCCAGTGACTGTGGGGACATGTAGGTCAGCGTCCTCATCCTGGTGATGCATCTTCTCTCCATTGCATAAGGAACTGGAGGTCCTTCACCTTGTGAGCCCTTGTCCCCACCAAATGGGGTGTCCCAGGGCAATTGCCAGTCCAAGAGCAGCAGGTAGTGGTCCAGCTCCCCGAGTGATCACAGTGATTCCAGGCACAGGGAGACAGCCGAGTCCCAGAGGGTCCTTGCTGTCCTCTTGGGACTGGCACAGCTCCGTTGTCACTAACTCCTGTCAGCTCCAGGCACAAGGCGGAACATGTCTGTGTGGCCCCATGTCCTGGGCACATTTTCATACTGAGAAGGTTCACAGCTGCTGGTGGAGCCCCTGGGCAGGAGGATTCTTCATGCACATGTTCCAAGTGGAGGAGCACAGCTGGATGGGGGTACCCACATCATGGGGTGTCTAGTGGGGTGTCCCAGCTCACCCTGCAGCCACTGGCAACTCCGCGCTGTGGCAGACCCGGACCCTTGAGCCTCCCTGGTCCATGGGGTTTGTCCCCCCTGGGTACCAGCAGGGTGGTGGCCAATAACCCCACACTCAGGCTGGGTCAGCAGCCAAGAGCCAAAAGACACCCCTGCTCCACAACTCATCTTTACTCAGAGTGCCAGCACCCCATTGGCCCTCCAGCAGCCCCACCACCCTAGGGGTGCTGACGGGTCACACCCCACACTCCCATCAGAGCCCCATGACGACACGACCCTGGGCTGAGCATCACCAGTCCGTCAGCCGGCCCAGGGGTGAGGGAAGCTGGACCGCAGTGCGCGGGGGAGGGGGCTGTCACCGCGGCAACCGCCGTCGCCTAGCGCCGGCTGTCTCCCGGTAACCCGTCGCCTAGCAATGGGGGATTTCACAGCTCGGGATGAAGAGTTGAAAGTTATTTTTAGCCCGGGCTGTGAATCAATAGGCAGCTCCATTCGCCGCCCCACAGGATGCTCGTGCGGGGCCTTGCTGTGGTGGTGGCAGGCGGGCTGCCATGGGGACCGCATGGCCTGGCCAGCCTGGGGTCACCACCCCGGCACAGCCCCTCGATGGACACCCAGGGCTCAGCCTCTCTCGGCTCCCCCCAGTGCCCTCCATAGGGTTCAGTGCCCCTGGACCTCCCCTGCCAAGGATCTGACACCCCAGGCCCTATGCAGGGGATGGTTGGTGAGGGCAGGATACCAACTGGACCACTGCTTTGCTATTAGGACCCTCACCTCACTGTGGGGGTCCTCTTTCATTTGTGAGCACCCTCATTGCAGCTGCTGGGAGCCTCATTGTGCCATGGGGATCTGCTCCCACTACTGTGGTCCCCCACTAGTCCGCAAGGGATGTGGACAACCGTTGCCATGGGGACACTCTCCTTGCCATGGGAATCCTCTTTATGCTGCGGAGACCCTTGCCTTGACATGTGGACTCCTCTTGCCCATTGCACACTTGCCCTGCCACAGGGACTCCCATCTTGCCATGGGACCCCCACCTTGCCATGGGGACTCCTTCCTTGCCATGGATATCACCTTTTTGCTGTGGGGACCCTTGCCCTAGCATATGGACCCCCTCTTTGCCTTGGGGACTACTTCCTTGCCATGGGGACCCCATCTTTGCCATTTTATGGGGACCCTAATCCAGTGTTTCCCCTCCTGACAGCCTCCCTGAGCTCCTCCAGGGCTCATGCCTGCCCTCAGGGACACCAGCCTGGGGGTCTGGATACTCAGTGTTAGTGGGGGGGATGGAGCCTGCTCAGCACACGGGTTCCATGGGGAAGGGCTGGGGGTATCCCTAATTGCCCCCATGCTAGGCTGGGCGTTGAGGTGAGGCTCCTCAGCTATTTTTGAACGATGAGGTGGGTGCCTGGCACAGCTGCTTCTCCTTTGGGTGCTCAGCTGAGCTCCCACGCAGCCGTGGGAGGCCAGGCAGCAGGATGCAGAGGATGGGGAACCCCAAAAAGGGGGCTCCAAGCCTCTGAGGAGCTCCTCCTGAGTCCCCTTTTTGCCTTTGCAGGAGGGTTTTTACCTCTGGGCCCTGCCCTTGCTGTCCCCCCCCCAAAGCACAGGAGCACCCAGGGCCCCTTTGTCCCCACTGGTGAGAGACACTCCATCCTGAGGCACATGTTTAACGCTGGGATCCCAGCACAAGGCAGAGCTGGAGTTGTCAGAGAGGGTCCAGAGGAGACCATGGGAATGGCTGGGGCTGGAAGGTCCCTCCTGCAGATGAAGGCCGGGAGAGGTAGGGTGGGTGAGCCTGGAGAAGACATTCTGGAGCCTGTCAGTGTATGAGGGGCTGGTAGGGGTGATGGAGATGAGAGAAGGGTGACAGCTTTAGGCTGGAAGAGGATGGATTTAGGTTGGATATAAGGCAGGAACATGGGGTAGAGGGGAACTGCCTCCTTGATTGAGGGGAGATGTCCGTGCCCAGGGCAGGGCTTGGACCAGGGGATCTGTGAAAGTCCTATTGGATGAGCCCATCCCCTGCCCCGCGGCGGGACGTGGGTCCTGCTACAGACACGCCATCACCCTGAGACCCCGGCGTGTCCAGCCCGAAGGGGTCCCCGCCGGGGGCGGCGGGAGGAGCAGCCGCAATGACCGTGGTCACAAGAGGGCACTGCGAGATCTAGCGTCCCGGGCACCGGGCAGGGGAGGGACCGGTGACCGGAGCGGCCCGGGACCCGCTGCCGGGTCCCCTACAACCTGCTCGGGCAGGTCCCTGGGGGGCAGCCGGTCCACGGCCCCGCAGCCCTCCCTCTGGCAGCGGGGACAAGAGGATACGGCCAGCGGGGACACGGGGTGGCAGCTCCTGTGAAGCCCGGGGATGCTCTGCCCCACGGGGGTGGGGCTTTGCCCGGTCCCAGCTCAGCCCCAGCTCCAGTGGCTGCTCACTGAGTGCTCCGGCCCCCCCAAGGCAGTGCCCGAGGCCAGGAGTGGCCGGGGGTGGACACGCCAGGGGTGTCCACGGTGGCTTTGTCCAGCTGGGGCCGAGGTTCCTCCCAAAACACCGCGTTAAGGTGGATCGGGGATTTCCTCCCCCGCCCGGGCTGGGGGTGGGGGTTCAGGGTGCAACCCCCCCCCGGGATGCTGCAGTGGGGCTGGGTCACACTCACCGCCGTGTGCCCATGCGGACACCGGGATCCAGCCTGCGAATGGCAGCTTCCCACCTCCCCGCACTCCCGTGTGTCCCAAGGAAACCCCTCCCGAGGGACCCCACGGGACGGTGGGAGTCAGTCTGAGTGAGGTCCCTGCCTGGGGACACCAGAGCCTGGTGCCAACTCATTGCGGTGCCACCTCGGGCACCCGGCGGGGTCTGTTTGTGGGGTCCCTGTATCCCATGCCGGGCCGGGAGCACACCCGGCCCTGCTTCCCCAGGAACCGGCCCCGGGCCACATTCCCCCGTGCCGGGGTCACTGTGACCCGCAGTCGGGCCCTCTCTCCCCGACACCCACGGCAGACCCCAGCACAAGGCTCAGTGGGTACAGAGCCCCACACACAGACCCCTCAGCACCCCGAACCGCCCACCCGCCCCGCTCCACCTTAACCCGCAACCCCTCCGGCCCCTCATTTTCCACGGATTCCAGCATCCTGACTTGTTTCAGCATCGCTCCATGGCGGGAGGGCCGCGAATCCCCCTCTCCCGCCTGGCCCCCTCCCCTTCCCCCCCTTCCCCTCATTCTTTCCACCCTCCAAATTTACAATCCCTCATTTCCATTCCGCTCCACCCTCTCGCTAGGACTTTGTTCCCGGCCTGTATCATCCCATCGCAATTGTTCCCTGTTTATTTCAAACGTTTTGGCGGGCTGTCACTGGATGGACACTTAATTAATTGTGGGGCTGGCACAATAGCGGCTGGGGGGTGTGTGCAAAATCCCAAGGGAGGTTGGGGGGGGTTGGAAGTGGGGGCTCGGGTGTGCGGAACTCTCCATGACAGACCCACACCATGTGTCTCCATGGCCCCTGTTAAGGGTGTCCCGTGGGGAGGGGTGTGCTGCTGCTAGGGGGGGGTGTGCATGGAGGTTGAGGTGCGTGTAAGTCTTGGGGTGCACAGTTATAGTGGTGCACAAACCAGGGGGCTGGATTTTGGTGTGTGCAGCCTGTGGTGTGCATAAGTCAGGGTTTGTATAGGTTTGGGGTGTACACAGCCTGAGGTGTGCGCAATTGGGGTGTGCGTAGTTGCGGTGCGTATAGCCTGGAGTTCCTGTTGTCGGGCGTGTATAACTTGAGGTGTGCATGGCCTGAGGTGTGCATGGCCTGGGGTATATATAGCCTGAGGTGTGTGTAGCCTGGGGTGTGCATCAATTGGGGTGCATATGGCCTGGGCTGTACACACCTTGTGGGGTACGTAACTGGGGTGTGCACAGTTGGGGTGTCGACAGTTGGGCTGCACATAGCCTGAGGTGCCTGTACTCGGGGTCTGCATGACCTGGGGTGTGCACAGTTGGGCTGTACCATGCCGGGGAGCACCGCGCAGCCCCAGCCCTGTACCCTCAGCGCCCCCCCCCCCCCCCCCCCCCCGGTGTGTCCTTCCCGGTGCCGGGAGCCGCAGGGGGGTCCAGGGATGCCGGTGCGGGCGCTGCCGGTGCCCCAGGCAGCGGGCGCGGGGGGAGATGCGGGGGGGTGCGGGGTGTGCGGCCCCGCCCCGCCGCCGCCATTGGCCGAAAGTTTGGGGCGCGGCGCGGGGTGTCGGCCCCGCTCCCCGCTCCCTGCCCGCGGCCGGTGCGGGCAGCGCGGGCAGGGCCGGGCCGCCCCGGGGCCGCCGCGGCCGCGGCCATGTGGGCGCTGCGGGCGCTGTGCCTGGCCGGGCTGGGCGCGGCGCTCGGCGGCGCCTCTGCGGATCCGTGCAGCTGGAGGGGCAGGTAGGGACCGGCACCGGCGGCACATGCGGGTCCCCGGCTCAGCACCCCCCCCCCCAAACCCCCCTGCCTGACTCGCAGCCCGCCCCCCACCCGGGAGCATCCCCCTGTGCAGGGGCTGCTACCGCTTCCTGCGGAGCTGGGTCGCGGTGGGATACTAGGACCTGCTCCTGCCTCAGTTTCCCCATCCCAGGGATGTGCGGGGTCCGGGCCCGCCTCACCGGGAACCCTTCCCACAGCCCCCTCCCCCGTTAACTGCAGCCCCGCGGCCCCTGGGGCCCCTCGGCAGGGCTCGGAGCGCCGCTGGCCGCGGTGGGGAAGGCACTGAGCTCCGGAACAAAGGGCTCGGGCTGCCGTAAGCCCCACGCGAGGCCGTGGGGGGCACGGGCAGGACACAAGACCGGGCAGCAGCGTGGCCGGGACAAAGCAGCCCCACGGCTGTCTCCGCTCCTCCGGGCAGGGCTTTCCCGCTTGTCCCCTCCCCTAAATATTCAACAGGCAAGACGTGGCTTCGGGCAACGGTTCCACGCGAGCCCTAAACCCACGGGGGGTGGTAAACCCCCAGCTCTCACAGGGGATCCCCCAAAGTTGGGTTGTGCAAGAAACAGGCGACCCCAAGGCTGTGGGTCCCGTGGCTTGGGAGGCTGGGGAGTCCACTCTGGGTGCAAGGGAGTCTGTGTGCGCTGCTGCACACCCCGCCCCGGCACCTACCCAGGGGGTTGGTGGGGCCGAGCACTCCCGAATGATACACATGCAGCCGGTGGCATCGGGGGTTTGGTGCTATTCCTCCCTGTGTTCATCCTGCACAGCTCCATGGGGGAATAAGGGCTGGGGGGATCCCCATCACCTGGTGGGGCACAGGCTGCGGGTCCCCATCACCCGGCATGTCCCAGTGACGGGGGTGCCGTGCCTCGCAGCGGGCTGTCGCAGGAGGCGGGCAGCGTGGAGCAGCTTTCCCTGCCCTGCGCCGAGGGCTCTCTGGAATGGCTGTACCCCACGGGGGCCCTTCGCCTGCGCCTGGCTCCCCGCCTGCCCCCGGCCACCGCCGCCGCCACGGGCGGGAGCCCCCAGCACGTCACCGCCTGCGTGAAACCCGCGGGCACGTTCCGCGGGGCTCAGCTGTACCTGGAGCGGGACGGGGCGCTGGAGCTGCTGCTGCCCGAGGCGCCGCGGCCCCGCGTGAGCTGCTTCAGCTGGGCGCCCCAGGAGAAGGTGGCCCTGTTCCTGCAGGCCACCCCGCACCGCGACATCAGCCGCCGCATCGCCGCCTTCCGCTACGAGCTGCGGGGAGACTGGCTGGCCCGCCCCGCGCTGCCCGCCGCCAGCCTCACCGGGGAGGGTGAGTGTCCCGCAGCCCCGCTCAGCCTGCCCCAGCTGCCCTTGCCGGGTGTCCCCCCGTGTGCGCGGAGGGGCCGGTCACCGCTGGCGGGTGGTGACAGGCTGTGCTTGACTGTCGCAGGGGCTTGCCGGCCGTGCAACGACACCGAGATCCTGATGGCCATTTGCACTAGTGACTTTGGTGAGCGCAGCCCCTGCCCGGGTGCTGGGAGCCCAACAGGAGGGGACGAAGCTCAAACTGGGGACCGAAGCCCCGTCCTGCCCTGCCTGGGCATCAGTACAGAGGCTGCTTCCGCATGGGGATGGGAACAGGGATGGGGATGAGGACAGGGATGGGAACAGGTATAGAGATGGAGATGGGAATGGGGACAGAGAAGTCTATGGGGACTGGGACAAGGATAGGGAGAGAGATGAGAATGGATGGCGATGGGAATGGTGGGAATAAGGATGGGAATGAGGACAGGGATGGAGATGGGAATGGGGACAGGGAAGGCTACGTGGATTTGGACAAGGATGGGGGTGGATGGCAATGGGAATAGTGGGAATGAGGATGGGCACAGGTATGGAGATGGAGATGGGGACAGGGATAGGGATGGGAAAGGCTACAGGGATCATGACAAGGATGGGGACAGGGATGGGGCTAAGGTCAGGGCCATACTGACACCCATCCCTCTCTTCCCCTCGCAGTGATCCGTGGTAGCATTCGGAGCGTTTCCAACGATGTGGAGCTGCAGGAATCCATCATTGGGGTGAGCGCTGCCCGCATCCACCGCCAGAAGTTTCCCCTGTTCCAGGCGGGGGGGAGGCCGGTGGGCAGCATCCACACCCCACTGCGCTGTGGCGTCAGACCAGGCCCCGGCACCTTCCTCTTCACGGGGTGGCTGCACTTTGGTGAGGCCTGGCTGAGTTGTGCGCCACGGTACCGGGACTTCCAGCGCATCTACCATGGGGCACAACGTGCACACCAGAACCCCTGCGAGTTCCCCATGGACTGAGTGGCTCGGGGGTGGGGAAGGACAGCTCGGCCCCACAGGTGCTGGGGGGTCCCACAGGCAGCAAGAGCATCCCTGGGGTTGGATGGTGCCTGGAGAGAGGAGCAGTGATTTGGTCCTTGCCATGCAGCTGGGCTCCAGCAGCATCCACCGATGGGCTGGGGGGGTCCCGAGAAAATCCTGCTGGAAGGGAAGGGGTTTTCCCAGGGAACTGCCCAGATGAGGGGTGCTGTGGTGTGGGGCGGGGGGGTAGGGGCTCCCAGGGGACTGGGGTGCTGCAGGCTCAGGGGATGCTGTAGGTGGAGCACGATGGGGGTGGCTGTTGTTCTCCCCAGGAGGGCACGGTAATGGGTGGCCATGGCAGTGGGTGCCACAGTGGGGTGTGGAAGGGCCAGGAGGTGATTTGCAATGTCAGGGGTGGAAGTGGGAGCAGGATGGCAGTGAGCCTTACCATGACCCTGCCTGCAGTGGAGGGCATGGGCAGGGGCCATGGGGTGGATAATGAGGAAGAGGAGTGAGGCTGAAGGAAGCGAGGGGATGGCAAGGGGGGAGGAAGGCTGGTGCAGGACCAAAGCACCGATGCAGGAAGGTGCCGTGGGGGTGGGTAGAGGTTGGGACAGGCCGGGACGTGCTGCCCATCCTGCCACCGTGGCTTCGTGGTGTCTGCCGGGTCATCCCGGTGGGTCACAGCCTGTCGGCCAGTGGGAGTGTTTTGACCGTGGGGGTGGGGGGGCATTGTATGTGCACTACAGTGATAATGATACCAAATGTGTGACCTTTTTGATAAACTAAGCTGTCTTTGTAGAGCATGTGTGTGAGACTCCTTGGTTTGTAGGCAGCTGAGCTGTGCCTTCCCATGTGTCAGCTCCAGCCACTGACCCTGCCCTGGAAACAGCCCTACTCTCTATATATCTCCCTCCATAAAGTGATATATTGTTGTTTCTGAGTGTTGCATCCCTGGGATGGGTCATTTTGAGGTTCTTCTCCCTGGGTATTGGCGGTGGCCCCATGCCGGGGGGTGAGCAGCCACTGTCAGGGCTCATTCTCATCAGAGTCACCAGCCACAAGGCCTCATTGTGCTGGGCTGCACCGTGCTGGTGTCCCAGCCCCACTGCTTCCCCCCTCCATGGAGTCCTGTGGGCTGTGTGTGGTGGTGGGGAGGGACACAGGACCCCAGCGGGGATGGGGCACAGGAACCATGGCCAGGACCTTTCCTCCACATCAGTGATGCCCACAGGAGCTCAGTGCTGGAAAACCTCAGCCCCTGAGCATCCAGAGCAGAGCTGCTCCAGCCCTCACAGCATCTCAGTGGCCTCCTCTGGACTCACTCCAACAGCTCCACGTCCCTCTTGTGTTGTTGTCCCAGAGCTGGATCAGGACTGCAGGGGGGGTCTCCCCAGAGCCAAGGGGGACAATCCCCTCCCTCAACCTGCTGCTCATGCTCTGGGGGTACAGCCCAGCACATGGGGGTTCTTGGGAGCTGTTCATTGACCAAAACCCACAAGTTCTTCTCCTCAGGACTGTTCCATCCAGTCTCCCTCAGCCTGCGCTTCTGCTGGGGATTGCCATGGTCCATGTGCAGGACCTTGCACTTGGCCTGGTTGGATTTCATTTGATGCCCTTGCTGCCTACAATGCACTTTTCCTTGCCAAGAAACCATTTCCAATGAGTGCTGTAGGGTTTGGAGTTCAAATATGTACATGTAAATGTGTGTGTGTATAAAATGATCTGCTTGTGATATGATCCTGCCTGTGAGGTGGTGGTGGGGTCAATACACAACACATGTTTTCCCCAGAGAAGAATGTGATGCTTATTTTACGCTTTCCTGCCAAAGGGCTGGTGCTTATTTTGGGGCCAGCCTGGGCCCGAGGGCAGGATCCATCCCTGGCAAGTCTGATGCTCCATGCCAGGCTCTTGAGGATGCCAGAATCCCTCTGGATTTTGGCAACAGGCAGGAACTGAGCAAGCAGTGGGAAAGAGGAAGGAGTGGGAAACCCAGTGGAGGAGGAGAGAAAATGGGGATGGAAAAGCAATAAATGAGGTGTAAAGGGAATTGTGGTGCCCATGGCATCCTCCACACACATTGAGGGTAAATCAGGGCTGCTCCGACCCCGCCGCAATCCCGTGCATTCCTCTCAGCTGAAGAACAGGATTTAATGTGCTGAGCATCCAGCAGCATCTGCCCAGCACCAGAATCTCCTGTTTTGCTTCAAATCTGTTTATTTGGCCAGAGCAGCTCGTTCTGCTGCTGCGGAAAGGGCTGCTCTGTGCCTTGCTCACCACTGCGGGGGGTTTGGGCTGGTTTTGGTGCCCTCTGCCCTGGGTCACGTTGGGTTGGCTGCTCTCACTTCCCGCAGCTGGGCCCCAGCCAGGGCACAAGCACTTCCTATGGGACCATCCCACAGGGAATCCAGGCAGCCAGTGCCTCAGTTTCCCTACTGTAGGAAAGGGATAACAGCCCTTCCCTGCTGCTCAGGGCTGCCGTGGCAGCATCCTGCATTCCACAGCCCCATCAATACCCATCTCCCCAGGGCTGGTTATCCCACCAATTCCCCAAAAGCAGAGTCCAGCCCCAGCAAGCCAAATTCCTGTCTAGCCTCTTGGCCACAGAGGGTAAAATCACAATGAGCCAGACTCCATCCTGGTTAGTATTTCCTTGGCAGGATGAAAAATGTGGTGGGGTGGGGGTGGAAGCGCTAGGGACCATGTTGTGACAGGGCTGCTTTGGGAGGACCAGACAGGAACTGGGGGGCTCTGGAGGGCAGCTGGAGCCCAGCTGGGTTTGGTGAGAGTGGTGATGATGGTCAAAGGGCTGTGGGGAGCACAGGGAAGGATCCCCCTGACATGCTCACCTGGGCAAGGGTGGATGCAGCTTCCCCAGGGATGAACCTGCCAGACCCGCTCCAAACCCATCCCTTGCTATAGGGGGTTTAGGGACACCATGGAGGGCAGCACCCCAAACCATGCCCCTAAATGGCAATGTGCCCAGGGAGGTGCCTGGAGTCCTCATCCCACGGGATCAGCCACATTGTGGACGCAGGTGTCCAGGCCGGGGGGGGACACATAGAGCCCTTCTGTCACGCTGCCGATGGGTGTCCGCGCTGGCACGACAAGGCACAGAGGGTGGCACTGCCGAGGTGCCCCCGTTGCTGTCCCCAGCCCTGTCGCACAAAGGCAGCGCCGTTTCCCGCCATCCCCCTCACTCCCCAAGCCTTTCCTCCCCCTCTCCTGCCCCTTCACCTTCCTCCTCCCTGGCTGCTGCCGATGAAAGCCCAAACCAGTGAATCGAGGGGCACAAAGGGGAGGCACAAAGGGGAGGCCCTCTCAGCCCCTCTGTGGCCCCCACAGCCACCCTGGGATGACCAGTCCTGTGCTGCCTTTGCTGCCCATCCTGCCCATGCTGTTCATCCTGCCTGCCCTGCCTGCTCTGCCTGCTTTGCCCACAGCACCCAGGAGCTGGCACGGGGCAGGAGGATGCTCCTGGGACCCGAGGGGGCCCCATAGGGTCAGGATGATATCCTTGGGGTTTACAGATCCTCTATAGGGGTGGATAATGTCTCTGGGACCAGGGAATGCACTATAGCCTCAGGTTTATGCCCCGGGGCCGGGCGATGGCCCATAGGGTCAATATGATGCCCTTGGGGTTTGGGAGCGCCTCATAGGGTTGGATGATGCTCCTGGGACCAGAGATACATCACAGCATGAGGATGATGACCTTGGGCTTCAGGGATACCCCATAGAGTCAGGATGATCCCCTGGAGCTAGGGGAAGCCCTGTAGGATCAGAATGATGCCCTTGGGGCTTGGGGTGCCCCACAGGGTCATAATAATGCCCTTGTGGCTCAGAGATAACCCAAGGGTCAGGATGATGTCTTTGGGCCAGGGGAAAGCACAGCAGCAGATAGGATGAGGCAGTCTGGGTGTCCTCATTGGGCAGCAGAGAAGGGACCTGAGGGCAGGATCCTCAGCAACAAGAGAGCCGGAGCCTGGTGGCCCCAAGGACACTGACACCCCTCAGCCCTTCCACCCCTTGGGGAGGTGTGCCCCAAAGCCTACCATAAAGGGTTGCTTTCAGCACCCCATCTGGCTGGGTCAAAGCCAAGCCAGCAGCATCCCTCTGGCTGAAAGGGATGCTGGGGGCCTCGAAGCCCCTCACCCCGGCTCTCCTGGTCCAATACGCCTACGCCTGGTGGGTCTGGCTGCCAGCAGCTGTTGGGAAGCAGCTTTCCCAGTGCATAGTGACAAATTCCTGGCGGTTGAGGATGCTTTGCAGGCGCCGCGGCCCCGCCGGGGGAAAACTGCCCTGGAAAGAGGTGAATTAAAAGCTCTTTGGCTCCAGTGGTGCACCCCAATGGTCCCCTTGCACAGTTTCCTGATATGTTGCGGACACTGCGGGCTGGGGCAGAAGTGGGATGCTCCCACCCTTCATCATGTCCCAGGGGCCCAGCAGGGAGAGCTCAGCCCTGCCTGGGAATTGCTTCCTTAATTAATTTGCTTTGTAGCATCACGGCGGGGCCTTGGCCTGCCCCAGGGACCAGCTCGTCCACACAGACCATCCTCCTCCTCCTCCTCCACAGCCCCTGCCCCCCTCTTTTCCCAGCTCCTATTTCCCCAGATTTTCTGCTCACTCTCAACCTTAACCGGCCCCACCGGAAAATCGGAGCAATCCCCATGGCCACTGATTTGGCTGCAGCCACGTTGGGGTACGGAGGGGGAACAGCCCTGGGCAATATCTCTGGGATCTACAGATGGTGCTTCCTCACCAGTGGAGCTGCATCGCTGCTCCTGGGTTATGTTTAATGGGGTCTGGTTGTTGTTAAGCACCCCTAGCTGCATGGTGTGGTACGAGGGTAGAGCACACGTGCGTATGTGTGCATCCTCATTCCAAGGGTGAAATATTTGGCTCCCACAAACAAAGGTGAGACCAGAGTGGAAACATGTGTTTGCCTTTGGCAGCTCAACCCTTCGCCACTGCCTGCGTTGGTTCAGTGGCAAAGGGGGTCTTCAGGGAGGCTGGTGCCTTCCACAGGGCTGGGGAGGTGAGAATCCTCCTCCAGAGTCACAGAAGCTCAGGCTGGTTTGTGTTGGAAGGGAACTTAAAGCTCATTCAGTTCCAACCCCCTGCCACGGGCAGGGACACCTTCCACCAGACCAGGCTGCTCCAAGCCCCATCCAACCTGGCCTTGAACACTGCCAGGGATGGGGCAGCCACAGCTTCTCTGGGCACCCTGTGCCAGCGCCTCAGCACCCTCACAGGGAAGAACTTCTGCCTAAGAGCTCATCTCAGTCTCCCCTCTGTCAGGTTAAAGCCATTCCCCCTTGGCCTGTCCCTACAGGCACCTGTAAAAAGCCCCCCCCAGTCCCAGTCCCCTCCACCCCAAAGCTGGGGCTGCCCACAGGTAGTCAGTGATGGATGTCCCAAAGCCCTGGTCACCCTGTGGGGTGCCACCAGCCACGGCACAGACCCCTGGGGCCATCCCCATCTCCCAGGGGACACCCCAGTATGCTGCTGGAGGGGACCCCCAGGAAGCCCTGACCCAGAGGCCCGAGGAAGTCCCGGGAGGAAGGTGACACCGGGGCCGTGCGGGCCGGGAGCTGCTGCCCTTTGTGTGCGTCTGCCCTCCTGAGCCGTCATTGTTCCCACGTTAGGGTTGGGTTGGGGGGGGGGGGGGGTTAATTGCGGGTGGGCAGGAGCTGTGGAGCCCAGCCCCCCTGCATCCCACAGCCTGGAATTTTCCCACAGTCGTGGCTCCCTCGCAGCAGGAAACCCACCGCCTGTGGCACGCACAGCCGTGAACAGCCGTGCACACCACTGCTCACAGCCGTGAATGACTGCACAGCCACGCACAGCCATGTACCACTACACAAAAGTGTGCACAACCACACGCAGCTGTTCACGACCGCACACACCACCACGCACAGCCGTGCACAGGCATGCACAGCTGCCCCAGCCTGCTCACAACCACGCACCGTGACTAGCTACGCACAGCCCATAGCAACAGCGCACAACTGTTCACAACCACGCGCACAACTGCACCCAGCGGTGCTCGCATGCACAGCCGCGGCTGCAGCCCCACAACCGTGCACAAACACGTACAGCGCTGCACAGCCGCCCGCGAGCGCGCACAGCACCGCGCAGCCACAACCGACCCTGCACAACCGCACGCGTTCACGCACGGCCGCCCATGGCCACGCCCGGCCCTGCACGGCCGCACCAGGCGGCGCCGCTCCTCCCGCCCCGCACACAAAGACCCGCCGGTGCGCAACGCAGCCATGCCCCTGCCGCCTCCCGGTGCAGGCCGCCTCGGCCCGGCCCCGGCGGAGGGCGGGGGCTGCGGAGCCTCCCCTTCCGGCCGCCATGGAGCCGGGGGAGCCCGGGGAGCCCGAGGAGGCGGCATGGCGCGGGCCGGGCGGGGGACCGCTGGGCGGGCGGTCGCTGCTGGAGCTGGCCGTGGCCACCGGGGTGGCTGCTTGGGCTGCCTGGGCCGTGTTGCTGATGCCCGGCTTCCGCCGGGTGCCCCTGCGGCTGCAGGTACCGCCGATGCTCCCCCCCCTCCCCAGCCCCGTGACCTCCCGGTACTCCCGGCGCTGACCCCGCTCTCCCCAGGTGCCCTACCAGCCCTCCGGCCCGCAGCAAGCGGCCAACGCGCTGGCGCTGCTGCGGGGACGCTCCGGGAAGACGGTGGATCTGGGATCGGGAGATGGACGGCTCGTAAGGGCGGGCAAGGGGGTGCGGGAAGGACAGGGAGGGGGTTGTGCCCAGCAGGAGGATGGACGGGATCTCCCCCGAGCAGCTGCTGCCCGGTGCCTGGCTGGGCTTCTGATGGCCCTCCTGGGTGGCCCTAGATAATCCTAGACAGCTCCTAGACAGTCCTAGCTGGCCCTAGGTGGTCCTAGACAAGCCCTAGGTGCTCCTTGACAAGCTCCAGGTGCTCCTTGACAAGCTCCAGGTGGTCCTGGTCATATTAGACAAGCTCTAGGTGGCTGTCGACAGTCCTAGATGTCTAGGCCCAATACTAGCCCTCGGTGGTCCTAGACAGCCCTAGGTAGTCCTGAACAGTCCTAGGTAGCCCTAAACAAGCTCCAGGTGGTCCTAGGTGGCCCTAGACAGCTCTAGACAGTTCTAGGTGGTCATAGACAAGCCTTAGGTGGCCTAAGACAGTGCTAGGTGGTCATAAATAGCCTTGGACTGTGCTCTGTGGTCCTAGAGGGTCCTAGACAATCCTAGGTGGTCCTTGATGGCAACAGAAGACACCACATGCAGTGAGCAGCATGGAAAAGCACTCTAGGAGGAAGGTGCCAAGGACTGAGGCCACCCTGCCTGTGAGGAGGGGGCAAGTGGAGCTGGGACACAGCCCCTGCCCCCTGAACTGTCCCCCAGACTCGACCCTGATGTTTGTTTTAGTTGCAGCTCTCTCTGTCTCTCTCAGGTGCTAGAGGCTTATAAGCAAGGTCTGAGACCAGCCATTGGCTACGAGCTCAATCCCTGGCTCCTGTGTCTCTCCCACTACCGGGCCTGGAAGGCTGGTTACCATGGGAAGGTTTTCTTCCTGAAGAAAGACCTGTGGAAGGTAACAGTGTCCCAAGGTGTGGCTGTGCTCAGGCCAGTGCTAGGGCTTGGTCTGCAGCCCCAGCCAGGGTTTGCTGGTGGTTGCTTGCTCCTTCCTCAACCCACGCTGCTCCCAGGAGGTGTAAAACCGTTCTCCTTCCCAGGGGAACGCCAGCCTGGGCAGCCTGTGGCTGGCTGCTGGTTCAGCAGGCAGCAGTGCTTCTTCTTGGAGCAGCTTTGATGGGAGGTATGAGGTGCTGCTGACATATGGTGGCCTTCAGAGGTGTACTCCTAAAGATGCCTGCAGCCTGACCAGAGAAACCCAGCAGGGAAGGTGGATCTGGGATGATGCTGGAGGCAGGCACTTGCGAGTGGTACTGCTCCCAGTCACACCATCACATCCTCATCCCACATGTTGTGGGGCGTCTGTGCTTCCTCCAAGGTTCAGAAGATCATTCAGAAGGTGGTGAGACACTCAGTTCCCCCCTTGTCCCCCTCTGCTTGTTGCTTCTTGCATTCCCCTTTTCCATCTCTTTTAAGGTGAATCTTTCTGATTGCCACAATGTGATCGTGTTCCTGGCCCCCAGCGTGGTAAGTCTGTCCCTCACACCCCAGCTTGTTCAGAGCAAACTCCAAGGAGGGTTTTCTTAGGAAAGAGAGAGAATCTGGACAGTGGCAAAGACTCTTTAAAAGATAAGGCTCTATGAGTGGTTTGGTGCTCAGCACCATCCACATTTATAGAATCATAAAATCATTTAGGTTGGAAAAGACCTTTACCCCAGCACTGCCAAGGCCACACTAAACTGTGTCCCTAAGTGCCACATCTTTACATCTTTTGAATACCTCCAAGGACAGTGACTCCACCACTGCCCTGGGCAGCCTGTTCCAATGCCTGACCACCCTTTGGGGAAGAAACTCTTCCCAATACCCAGTCTAAACCTCCCCTGGTGCCGCCTGAGGCTGTTTCCTCTTGCCCTGTCTCTTGTTATTTGGTCCTAGTCCCAGCCATGCACAGGGCTGGCACCAGCCGTATGTTTTGGAAGGGTTGTTGGTTGATGGAGCCTGCTTGGGCCCTGCCAGCCCTCCCGAGAAGCTGTCCTGTGGTCGCTGGTGGCACTGGACCACGTGGCTGTCTGTTTCTCCCCAGAAACCTGCCCTGGCTACCAAGCTCCTTGCAGAACTCCCTGACGAAGCCCGGGTGGTGGCTGGACGCTTTCCCTTCCCCTCCTGGACCCCCAGCAGCACCCTTGGGCAGGGGCTGGAGCAAGTCTGGGCATATGACATGAAGGAAGTGCGGCGAGCAGTGCAGAGCAGCACTGAGGGAAGCTGGGTCCAAGAGCAGGCTCCTTAAGCCTGGCATTAAGCATTGGAGTCCTTCCAGTCCTTGGGCTCAGCTCAGAGCTGCTTGGCCAGGCTTTTGTCCCAGGGACGTGCAGGCTGGCAGTCCCTCAGTTTTCAAATGAATGGGCAGTTTGGGGGAAGCAAGGGAGGGGAAAATCAGACCTAGAAGTCCTGGAATTATTGCAGGATTTAAGGGCTAAGCCTCCAGTGCATCCTTATGTATGTTTGCTACCCTATTCCTAGTTCAATTTTCAAAATAAACATTTGATTGGTTCTTCCCTTGAGAGTTTTGCTTTGCCTTTGAGCTGCAGGGTGCTCCTGTAGCCAGGGCTGCTCCTGGCCTCAGGCTTTGCTCTGCTGGCCCTTTGGAGGCAGCTTAGGAGGCAGTTTGTCCAGCCCCCCTCCCGCTGAAGAATCAGTTTGGTCCTGCTCACTGTGTATAATATTCCATTTTCCAGGAAAATGGAATGTAATGAAACAGGAAAAAGGGGCTTTCTCACCATAAAAGATCAGCTCACCCCCTTTCTCTAGCCTCTTAGACCAAAGTCTGGCTTGACCCAGCCCTGGCCTTACCTCTTTGAGAGGGGAGTGAAGACAGGAGCAGAGTTAGCCCTTGGACTCCAGTCTAGGTCTGACCCAGGAGAAATGTTACCACAGGAACGGGAACCTTGGAGCCCCTCAGTAAGAAGCTGCCTGGGAACCTGACCCTGTGTCCCAGGCGTGATGTGCTCAGGGAATAGCAGAATTCCTGCTGCTGAGGGGTCAGGACAGACGCGCAGTTGTCTTGTCTCATGTTAGTGCTGTGAATTTGAGACCCGGAACACCCACGTGGTTGCCCTCGCTGTGCCTCCCAGCTCTCAGCAAGGGAAGGATATGGGCCCTGGCCAGTCCACAAAGCAGAAAGCTCCTTCCTTTGGTATGCTGCTCTTTCTGCTCTTCAGAGCCATGGTGGAGAGCTATGGTTCATGCCTGACAGTCCTGGCTCTGCGCAGTGAGTGAGTGTCGGCTGCCCCAGCACTGAGCGCATGTGGCTTCCTCAGCTGGAGGATCTCCTGCTTGTACCTGCAGTGGGGAAGTAGCACCATGGTTGCCTGTGGATTCACTATCCTGAGTGATTAGTTTAAAGGGATGCTGCACCTTGTGTTTGCCAAGGACACACAGTGTCAGTTAATGCAGAGCCTGCTGGGAACTGAGTCCTGGTAGATACAAAACCAGCCTTTTCCCAGGGAAGAGGGTTTTGCCAGGTAACAGACCTGTGAGTCTGACCTGAGTTCACAGCAGGCACTGAGTCTGTGGAGTTAGAGCAGGCACAGCTGGACCATTGCTCCAACAGATGTGCTCTGCTTTTCCTCACCCTTACCCAAGCAGCTGTTCTCCCTGCTTTGGGGTATGGTGAGCCACAAAGGGAGAGAGGACTGTACATTAGGGGCTGCTGGAAGATTTCAGCTAAGAGAGGGATTGCTTCTCTTAGCTTCCATCTAAGATTCCTCTCTTAGGTTCCTCCACAGGATGAGTGAGCACACAGGTAAGGCCAGATACTGCCCCACTGCCCTACAGAAGGAGGGCTGGTGGCAGCTGCAGCACAGCTGGATGTGCTGTGGGACATCAGCCCTGCTGGCAGTGCTGTGGGTAAGCAGTGGCTGTTGTTCCTGGAGCACAAAGAAACTTGGAGCACAAAGCAGAGAATGTGTGAAGGGGGATCCCACAATCTCACCTCGCAAGATGCTTGTCTATGTATTCCTGCAGCTCTATCACCTGCTCTTCTGCCACAATGGCCCGAGTCAGCAGCTGGCTTCTCTCCTGCTCCAAATCCTTCTAGAGGGGCAAAAACCATAGAGAAAACTGAGATGGGAGTGACCACTTCCCCATCACTCAGCTCCAATGCCACTTATCATTAGGCTACAGAAGCAACCCCAAACTGATGTGCTCAGGGAAGGGAGATGACAGTGCAGCTTTCTGCAGGAGTCATCGGCTGGGCTCCCCTCCCTTACCAGAGCACAGGCTTGGGCACCAGGGCCACCACAGCACTGCCAACTGTGATTTCCTACTCCAGAAGCTTCACAACTGGTGCATTGGCCACTGGATTTGGCACACAGACAGCTTTCACACCTCTACACCAAAGGGAACCCTTTGCAATGAACTTAACCTACCCTTTTAGACAGAACCCCAGTTGTTTTTGCACAGTGTCTCTGGGCAGTAGATGACCACCTCACCCAAGGTAACCGTACGGTCCCTGTGTCACCAGGAGGACCTGAGGTGTTTGAGCTCACTTGCAAGGTGCACAGCAGAGCCAGGATCAGGACCTGCTCTGTGTGCAGTGCTCCACCTCTCAGTCACAGCATGTCCATTCTTTTGGCCACAAAGATACATCCAAATTGGATGTTCATCTTTACCTGACCGGACAATGGTGAAGCACTTCCTTAGGCTGCTGTGGGCAACGTGGGAGGGGTCTGGGAGCACATCTATAGCTTTGTCTACCACAGAAAAACAAACCTCTGCTTGGTTTCCAAAACCCTTTTCCCCAAGTGTGGCAGGGACCCCAGCACCAACTCCTTCCCACTGCTGCCATTAGCAGACAGCAATCCCCACCTTAGACAAGCCCACTCACATCACCTCGGTTTCCTCCCCATGCTGGGCCAGCCCATTCCCAAGTGCGCCACAAATATCTATGTGCCCAGGGGGAACCACACTGGAAAGCTGATTCAGATGCAGCCTAGACTTGAAACAGCTTGAACACAGACCCAGTTTGTTGTACAGATGCCTTAATGTTTGTGCTGAAGCACGGGAGGGACCAATATGGTCTAGCAATGAGCAGACATAAAGGTTGCTATCCTTCCAGTAGCAGGGACAGTACAGCCTTGAGAGCATCACTTGGGCTGAGGCCAAACCCACAGCAAGGCTCTATGGAAAGCTGCCCTGCTCCAAGCAGGAGCAGTGTGTTTGCCCTAGCAGCTGACTGGGGCAGCCCACCTTTGCATGTGGCTTAGGGGCAAGCTTTTATTGGGATGGGCTGTTCCAGGCCTTTACCTGGGTGGTGTGTGTGAACTCCTGGAGCTGCTTCCTGACCTCTGCCCAGCCCTCCTCATCCAGTGGCCTAGGAGGCAAAAGCAGAACTTGATCATGTCTAGACATTCAGATCCAGCCCAGCCATAGGTCACACAGCTCTGGTGAGGGGCTGGACACAACTCATGCCCATCCAACCATAAACCCCAGTGCTCTGAACCCTTTTTTCTCCTGATGCCCCAAACTTCAGGGCATGTAGCATTGTCCCTGTGCCTGGGCACAAGAGTCACAGCCCTTCTGCCAATCTGGGATGCCACACTGCAATGGCTGGGTTTGTTCCAAGAGCACATCAATGCTCATACATCAGAGCACTCCGTGCAGAAAGAACTCTTATCCTGACACTGAATTTGATGGAAACAGAGAGTGATCAATGCCAAATGCTGCCACTTTTCACGTTTCGGAGCACAAACCCACTTGTTCTGGTCACTGAGCATGATAGGTGCTGAGCAGTCTGTGCAGCCCAACGTGGGAAAGTTCTTCCTCTTCTGTCCCTGCTTGAATAAGCAAGATACAGGTCACATCTGATGCTGGAGGAATTTGGGTTGTATGAAGGAAGGAATGCATTGTGCTCCAGAGCTGCGACTGCCCGAGTTCCCTCTGGTGGCTGTAGCCTCCCAGTCCAGGCACACGGGAAATCATGGCCAAGATTCCATGGGAGCAGAAGCAAAGGGAACGATAAACAGTGAAGCCACACAGCTGATTGCTAGAGATGAGAAATAGCAGGAATTATAGCTGAAGTGCTGCAGTAACACCAGCTAGAGGAGCAAAGTAATAGCATGGATAAACCCATTAGCACACAGAAAACAAATATATTAGGTGTTCAAGTCTCGTGGCAGCTAAAAAGCGGCACCTCAAGAGCTAGATATATCATTAGAATTAAGGTTCTGGACTTTCTGTGTCTTATTCCTGTAGTGAGTCTGCCAAAATTAATGCATGTATTCAAGGATAGGTGCATTCATATCTATATGTTCAGGTTGGAGAAGAGAAGGCTCTGGGGAGATCTTGAAGCAGCTTCCAGTGCCTAAAAGGGCTATAAGAAACCTGGAGAGGGGCTTTGGACAAGAGCCGTAGGGACAGGACAAGGGGGAATGGCTTTAACCTGACAGAGGGGCGATTGAGATGAGCTCTTTGGCAAAAGCTCTTCCATGTGAGGGTGCTGAGGCGCTGGCACAGGGTGCCCAGAGAAGCTGTGGCTGCCCCATCCCTGGCAGTGTTCAAGGCCAGGTTGGACGGGACTTGGAGCAACCTGGTCTAGTGGAAGGTGTCCCTGCCCATGGCAGGGGCTTGGAACTTGTGCTTTAAGTTCCCTTCCAACCCAGGCCATTCTGGGATTCTATGATTCTATAAGGACTACAACTACTTTTCAATGTGGAAAACATGGCAAAGCCTGGGTAAGTCTCAAGCTCTTCTCTGAGACTCCAGCTCAGGCACTGACTAGTCAGTGCTGGCATCCAGTTAGTGAAATACCTGACATGTTTTCTAGGGTACCAAACTTTTAAAAGGCTGAAAAATCCCAGCTCAGATTTCTTCACCGTTTCGTTCCACTTTTACACAGATACAGTTGATAGAGTTTCAACTGAAAAACAGAGCAGGGGGATGAAACCCATCAAAAAGGAGCAAATAAAGGGCACGTCATGAAGCCAGGGCAAGTAGCAGGGTCACTGAAGGGATCCAACCTAGCTTCTACATTGGATAGGTGAAGAAATAAGACCATCCCAAACTGGTGGTGTTTCACTTGCCTTCCCCAGGTTGTGTTCCACCAAAGCCCTGGGGTGTATGTTTAATTTCAGCTTCTAAAGAGATCAGTGGGACTAAAACCATGATGAAATCAAACATGAGCTTAAGAGCTTTCTTGGACCAAGGCCCAAATGACCAGCTCATTTCACCGCAGGGAACGCTGCACTGAGGTGACAGCTGGCTTTTCTTCTCAGATGAGCCCCTATCAGCTTGCTTTCTCTCTATTTATTACCATTTCCAAGTAAAGCAGAAAAGACCTCAATCCACACAGCAATGAGAAGTCTGAATTAGAAATATCCCAAGAATCAGCACTTACTGCTCAGGAGCCAGTGGAAAGGCTGAGGTTTCTTTCAGGCTTTTCTGAAGGCAAAGGAAGAAGAGTATTCCCATAAGCTTTAAACCATTGCAGTCTCACCACAGAACCCACCACTTTGAAGTGGTACATCATATCCTCACACTCCAACAGCCACCAGTGCTCTGGCAGGGAATGATGTGCGGTGGATTCTTAAGGTTTAGGTCTCCCGTCCTCTGAACTGTTAAATAAATGCATTTTGTGCAATTCGAGAGACATGTCTCTGCCCAGGCAGGTCCAGTGGGAGGACATGGAGGTGACTGGTGAGTTTCTGACTGGGGTCTCCTGATCAGTTAGCAGAGGCATTCAAGAATAGAAAGCCTCATCCTACCCTCCCTTCTTCACCTCTTCTTTTAGCAGGGAGTGTGTCTGCTGGCCTGGCAACTCTCCCATAACATCAGCTGCTCCTCAGCCCTCCCAGAGCTCAGCAACCCCAAACCATGGGGTTGCCCAGCCAGTAGCTATAGCTCACCCCTACACAGCAGGGTTGAAGCAGTGAGGGGACTGCTTGGACATTCTGTCTTCTCCCAAAATGAGAAAGAGAGCAAGCACTATCTTTGCCTGTGCCGCAGGCACAGCAAACCCTCAGAGAATGCCTAATGAAGGGGGTGAATCTGGCTTGTGAGACTCTCCCCTGCACCCCACAGAAAGCCAGCAGCACAGCCAGCACCTTCTGCAGCTCATGTAGCTGCATTTCCAGTTTTGCTTTATCCTCCCGCAGCCGGTTTAGCTCCCGCGTGGTGTTTGTCAGCAGCTCTGGGTCTGTGATGGAAAAGTGGAGCTCGGCAGGGCCACAGTCTGCAGCGGTGCTGTCTAAGGAACGGATCTGCTCTCGCTGCAGCCTGGAACATACCAGAGGGGTTAGTGCCTGGTATCTTTGGTTAGGTCACATCACTGAGTGTTTCTGCTGCTGATGGAGGTACCATTTGCTTGAGATCTGCTGGCTTCTGGCCACCAAGAGCCAGTTCCCCTGCAAAGGATAGGCAGGAGAGCCCAGCAGTATGCATTATATTCCTGGGAGTATTTCTGAAGGGAGCTTGTCCTAGAGCTATTTGTGGCTTTTATGCCACAAGAATTTCTGCTGCTTCCCACAGCCCAAGCTGGTGAGAGCTGTGGAGCAGAGCTGAGAGCACTGCAGGAGCAGGCTGGGAGGCAGGAGTTATTTGTGGTACCTCTGCCTTTCCACACCATCCAACATGGAATCACTTTCTCACCCTAAATTTGACACAGTAGAAACATATGTGCAAAGCAGCTCCAAGGTGTTCAGAGCACCCTGAGGTGCAGCTGGAAACACCTTGCTCCTGGCTTGTCAAGAGCAGGGAGATCAACATGTATTCCAGATCCTCTGCTCCATCTGGGAGCCCTGTTTGCCTCTGTCCCCACCACCGGTCTGCGTGGTCCAGGGCACTTCCACTTGGGCCTTTGCAGCAAGCAGAAGAGACAGAGGAAACCCAGACCCTGGGGCTTAGCCCTACCTGTAAGCAATGAGCAGGTTCTCATGCTTCTTGACCAAGTCCTTCATGCGTTTCTTGTAGCCACGTGCTGCACTGGCTAGCTGCTCCTCCCGAGCCCTGTAGGAAGCCCTGATGTCCTTCAGCATGCTGTCCACAAAGCGTTTCATGGGAACATGAGCAGCTGGGGCCTTGCTAGGCTCCATGACATTGCTGGATTTGCTGTCCATGAAGTCCTTTGTACATACAGAGAAAGACATCTAGGTGATCGAGTCATTCCCTAAGGCATGTAACCTATTTCCCACAGAGAAGCTCCAGGCATTTATATGCTCACAGCACAGAGGATAAGGCATATCTTCCATTTTCAAAGAGCTGGAAAGACTAATAAACTTCCATCATGGACCTTCAAGACAAAGAAGGCATCAGTGCTGTACCAGATGTACATCTGTACTGTACTGTATCCCTGCCTAGGAAAACACAAGTTGGTGTTGGGAGTTATCTTTTCTAGTCCATTCCCTTTCCCACTCTCTGCTAGCTAGGGCATGGTTCAACATTGCCCTGTTGGGAATTAAACTATTCTTAACAGTAAAGATTCCTTTGCTGAGTGTCCTGATCCATCACCACACTGTGTTCTTTGGTACCAGCCTTCTCCCAGCACAGAAGCTCTTGCCAAAGCCTGCTCACAGCTAACTAGGGGGATGGACAGAGGGGGGCTGGAATCTCCTCCCCCAGGCCAAGACAAGGGTACAGAGTCCCCTTCCAGCTGCAAGCATTGGCTCCCCAAGCCCCACAGCCAGCAGGAAGGGGAAACAGCCTGCAAGAAGAGGTCAGCCAGCGCAGAAGGGCTTTCCCTGCAAGGAGAGCCCCTGGGGCTGGGAGTACCCACCGCCACATCCTTGATGTACTGCACCAGCCGGGAGCGATATTCCTCATTCAGCTCCTTCAGACGGAGCTGCAGCTGAGAGTTCTCCGCCTCCACCTCTTGGAGCTGGCTCTGGGAGCTGAGCAGCACCTAGGCACAGCAAACATGCTCACTCCTGCTCTCATCCTCTGGCCACACAAGGGGCACTAAAAAGCCCCATTAGAGATGGGTGACTTCGTTGCCAAATATCCAGCTGCATTAGAGCTGAGAAGGACCTGGATTTTCACAGGATCCCACTGGAAATGTTCATTATCTCTATTCCCCTGCTACCTGCTGTCATTTACAACCCCCCTCTGCCTTGTGATTACACCAGCTCTTACTAAACAGCAGTGAACAAAATTCCTCCCACCACCTGTGGCAAACAGCACCTTCCACCAGCACTGCACCCCTGCAGAAGCAAACAAGAATGAGCAGCAGGTGGAGAGAGGGGATTCTCCCCCTCTGCTGTGCTCTGGGAGACACCACCCCCCCCCCCCCCCCCCCGCAGTCCTGATCCAGCTCTGGGGCAACAGCATAAGAGGGATGTGGAGCTGTTGGAGAGAGTTCAGAGGAAGCCATGGAGATGCTGTGAGGGCTGAAGCAGCTCTGCTCTGGAGTCAGGCTGAGAGAGCTGGGCTTGTTCAGCCTGGAGAAGAGAAGGCTCCTTAAGGGGAGACCTTAGAGCAGATCCAGTGCCTAAAAGGGCTACAAGAAATCTGGAGAGGGGCTTTGGACAAGGGCCTGTAGGGACAGGACAAGGGGGAATGGCTTTAACCTGACAGAGGGGAGACTGAGGTGAGAAGTTCTTCCCTGTGAGGGTGCTGAGGCGCTGGCACAGGGTGCCCAGAGAAGCTGTGGCTGCCCCATCCCTGACAGTGTTCAAGGCCAGGTTGGACGGGGCTTGGAGCAACCTGGCTGGTGGAAGGTGTCCCTGCCCATGGCAGGGGGTTGGAACTGGATGAGCTTTAAGGCCCCTTAAACCCAAACCATTCCATGATTCTATGATTCTATGAAGCAGTGCAGGGCGAAGCACCTTGATATGACAAACTCCCTGGAGAAGGAAATGTGTTGGAATACCTCAATACAAGACATCCACCCCCTGCTACCTCCAGGAGAAGCTCATGGTGCCCAGGAGGAGCTGATGAGCAGAGACAGTCCTGGAGCCGGGGTGCCAGGGGCTGGAGGGAATCCTGCCCTTACCGCTGACTGCTCCGCCAGCTTGCGCTGGGTGTCCCCAATCGTGCACTTTGCCTCCTGCAGCTCCTTCCCCATTGCCATCCTGGACACACAGGAAGAAGCCGTGTTTATTTTAAGTCCCCAAAGTTCTCTGTAGGTCCAATAGAGACAGTTTTGAGCAGGAAGTCACTACAGGATGACAGAAATCTCTCTGCAGCAGATGCCAGCTCCCAGATGTGTGCCAGCCAGCAGCCACAGAGCCCTCACAGCCAAAGGTGACTATCTTCCCCAGTCAGAGGGTCTAGTTCTGTAGTGTCCCTGCTGGGGCAGCCTTTGCTGGGACACCGACCTCATCCCAGCCTGTCAATGGAAGAACAGCCATGGGGGCAAGGGCTGAGGCTGGGTTCATCTTTGGGCTGTCACACAGGTGCTGTGTGCATCACAGAAGGTGGATTTTCAGAGTTGCATAGGCCAGTTGAGTACTTAAACACAACCCACTTCTAAGCAGGCAGTTAACCCTCTAAAGATTGTTGTAAACATCAGGTTTTGCTTCCAGGCCTCGCTTCTCCCAAAAGTGACTCACCATTTCCCACCTTGTACCCCACCAAAGGCAGGTTGTCTCCTCTCCTGTTCCCAAGGATCAAATTCAGCTGCAATAAGCTCCATAAATGCCCAGCCAAACAGAAGGATGTGCCCTCAAACACTCACACTCTCTCTTCCATCTTCTGTTGCTGCAAATCATAGGTTTTCTTTAGTTTTTCAAGCTCCACTTTTATGTTATCCTGGTTTCCAAGCAACTGAGGGACAAATGAAGAGGAAGATGAGACAGAGGACTGAGCTAAGAGGGATTCGTGAAGGGGGAAGAAGTGAGGACAGCCTCCAGCTGAGCAGTGACATACTGGGGAAAGGACAGATTTCACTGGGAGTGACCAGCTCTGTAGGACATCAGAGGCTGTGTGTGATCTGGAGACAGGGCACACATGCTTCTCTCCCAGAGGAAATTCTCACACCGAGAGTCAGATTCCCAGCAGGAGCTGGTGGCAAAGCCTAAGCTGGTTTTTCATGGGCTGCAGATGGGAAGGAGGCAGGGAGCATTTCTGTGCTCCCAGCTTTGGGTGCTTTGTCATCCCCATCTTTCTCAAGTATTGGCAAGAAGAAAAGAAGTAGGTGTTCTCTGCACTTGTTGGCTTCTAAACCTCTGCCTCTGTTTAGCAAGGGGAAATGAGGGAACCACAACTGCCCTCTCTCAGCTTCTGCCTGCACAAGATCATTGTAGTATCATTTTTCAATTGCACTGCTTAAAGAATAATAACTTATAATCAATCAAGGCATCATTGAACAAAATTCAAGTTAGCACAAGGAGGTGCAAGCCACAGTTGGAATAAATTCCCCCTCTTCTTCCCCAAGGATCTGGCACCAGACCCCCACACACTCACTTTTTTTTCCAGTTTTTGTTGCTCATGTTCAGAGGCAGCAACATCTTCTGGCTGGTTTTAGTAAGAGACCAAAGAAGGTGCCTGTTAGACCCTTGTTCTCCAAGGAGCTGGTGGCAGGGCAGAGAGGTCCGTCCTTACCTTCACCTTCTGAGCGGACAGGGGACGCACCGTTGCCCGCACTCTTCCCAGCTCAGCAAAGGCTTCACCAGCCACAGCAGGGGAGCGGTTGGCATTGGCCAGGTTGAGCAGCTCTCGGCTGAGCTCTTCATTCTTCATGACCTGCCAGGTCAAACAAGAAGAGAAGAGCTTCTGAAATGCTGCCTCTCCAGCTCTGCAGTGTCTGTTCAGCACATACCTGCTGCTCTTGGTGTGTGCACAAGGCAGGCACTCGCATCCCCTCCTGAAAGCAAGCTTTATTCTTAGTTGTCTCATATATGTCCAAAGATACCAATGATTTTCTAATCCTCATGGAAATGCAGGATGCCATCATAGATTAATAGAGTCATGGAATGGTTTGGGTTGGAAAGGACCTTCAGATCATCCAGTTCCAACCCCCTGCCATGGGCAGGGACACCTTCCACTAGACCAGGTTGCTCCAAGCCCCTGTGTCCAACCTGGCCTTGAATACTGCCAGGGATGGGGCAGCCACAGCTTCTCTGGGCACCCTGTGCCAGCATCTCAGCACCCTCACAGAGAAGAACTTATGCCTTATACCTAACCTGAACTTCCCCTATTTCAGTTTAAGCCCATTCCCCCCTTGTCCTATTGCTAAAGTCCCTGATGAAGACCTGCTCCCCAGCATTCATTGCCAGGCATCAGGATTATTCACATGGAACTTTTCTCCCTCTGCCCATATCATCCTGGCATTGAAATCCACAGCACAGTGCCAGCCCAGCCCAGCTCTGCCACCCCCCCTCCATCCTGACCTCCATCCTCCTTCCTCACGCTATCCCTGCACCCTCCGCACAGCTCCCCAGAGCTTCAGCCACATGTTTCTCCATGCAACAGCTTTGAACAGCGCTTGACTCTGTGTGTAAGAGAAGGGCCAAATCATCCATCCATCCATCCATCCATCCATCCATCCATCCATCCATCCATCCAGGCTGCCATCAGCCAGCTAATTCCAGGTTTGTTTGAATGCAACCCCCCCAGCAGCAGCCAGCCCACAGCACCATGTGGGCAGCGAGATTTAAAGTGCTGCTGGTGTGACGTGACACATTTCCAAAAGATAAAGAGGATCTGAATGAGAAAGGCTCTGTTACAGGTGATCTGGAAGGAACACTGGGGGAATTCATGTCTCACGGGAGGGTTTCTATGTTGATAACAAAGCTTTGATGGGGTTTATGACTGGGGACAAGCTTGAGTAATTGTTACCATGGCAGTGAATCGGGGAGGATGGGATACAGAGGTCATCTGAGTCATCCGTGGAGAGAATAGCTTATCAAAAGATAGCACAGGGTGGGCTGAGGGGGAGAGAGGAGAAAGAAGGCTGACAAAGAGGTGAGATATACAGCTGTGAAAATTGACAGCTACGCAGAGACAGGCTGCTTGTTCTCCAACCAAAAATGATCCAGCTGCAGCTGCCTGCCCTGACAATTCGATCGGGGGGGGGGGGGGGGGGGGCACAGGCTCAGAAATACCAGCCTGGTGAAAGAAAGAGGCAGTCCCAGGTTTGGAATGGGCATCACTGCATTCTCTGTGCTCCCAAGCCTGGCCTGGCTCCAGGGAAAACCCCAGCGTGGAACCAGTTTGCAGCCAGTTGGGTTCCCTCCACAGCCTCACTTTGTACCGCCGCAGACGGTGTGAGCCTGTGGAACAAAGGAGAAGGAGGAAACGGAGAGTCAAGGAAAGGTCACAGGCTTGAAAAGGAAGAATTTACAACGAGTTAGAAAACAGGCACAAAGTGCCTGGCTGGCATCTTCTGGAAGGCACTTCCCCCAGGACAGGCAAGGCCAGCTCCCTGCTCCTTTGCCCAGGATGATGTGTGAATCAAACCATACAATGAGCACTGAGGACAATCCAGAGGCTCTCACTGCTCCTGTACAAGGGACCATGAATGAGCTTGCCGAGCTGCTGCTGCGCCAAGCAGCCATGACAACATATTGGCAAGGTCACAAGTAGCACTTGTAATTGGGAATGTGTAAAAGCTTCATTGTCTCCCCCGAAGAGCGCTAGGGAAGGGGAGGGGGCAGAACCACAGGCTGCTTTTCCCATTTCCTTTGGGAAAGTCCACACTGGGAAAATAATGAGCAAGAGGCCCATGCCATGACAAGTCCCAGCCTGCCAAGTTGGAGCCTCTTTCGCTTCAGGCAGGGATAGTTGGTAGTCAGAGCCAAGAAACTGGGGGGAAGCCCTCAGCCTACCAATTACAACCAAGGATTCATGTTTGGCTTCTGGACCCTGCTCCACCACCTCTTCAGGATGACTGAACCCAGGTGCTTTCACTCTCTTAAACATTCCAGGATCCATGTGAAGCCAATGTGTTATTACTGCTAACCTGCTAAACCCATCATTGAGAGAGATCAGCCACCTCAAAATCCCATTTTTGACAAACACATTGCACCCCCTTGGGGACAAGAAGCAGCTGAGACTGCTGAAGGCTGAGCTGCTCCCTGGTGAGCCTGGCAGTACCGTGTCCCAGCAGCGTGCTGCCTTGCTGGCAGTCAGCTGCACGCGTGCTGCCTCGTGCTTTGGCAGGACTAGGGGGCAGGTTCATACCCCTGCAAGAGCTGAGCTTACCTCCTCCTAAGACATCTCCATTTCTCAGCTTATGGGAGACGAGTGATAGCTTCATGAGCCACTAACTTGCTTATTTGCAACGGGTTGATGATGATCTCATATCCTTAGAGCTCTCTCGAGCAAAGCTCCCCATAAAACCAGACCAGACACTGCCAAAACCAGTATGTCTGGGCCCAGCCCCACATCTTCCCATCACAGTTCTGCACAGGGCCAGCATGGGAAACCAGGTCATTTGGCTGAAGCAGCTAAACTGTCTGCTGGGGGAGGGAGGCAGGAGAGTGTCAGTCATTCAATCCAATTCAAAAAGAAGGAGAGAGCAGGAGGGGGAGAGGGAGGGGAGAGAGGAGCAGCTATTCTTGCTAAAGAATTGCACAAATCGGAGTCCAAATAACTTCATTAATAATTGCTAAACTAACAGTCATCAGGAAATTTACTATATTTTAAGGAGCAATCAGAAAACTTGCTTATATTCAGTGTTTTACTAAACTTGCTGACCCCAAAAACCTCCAGGGCCCTTCCCGCAGCTGTCGGAAATGAGAGTGACTACAAGCAGTTCACGTGCAGCCTGCTCAAGCCATGCAGAAGGAAAGGGAAACAAAGCATGCTGGCAGTCAGGAGGGACCTGCAGCGTGCACCCAGACCAGCCCTGCAGTGACCCCCTTGGTACTGCTGGAGACGGGCCTTGGGATGGAGTGAAGAGAGGAGGACTCTGACAGCAGGGTGCCTGCATGAGCACAAGGTCAGAGTGGGCTCAGCACTGTCCCTGCTGAGCAGAGCAGGTTCTGCAAGCCCTGTGAGAAGGTGATCAATCACCTTCCATGAGCCTGAAAATGAACCCGTACCCAAGCTCCTCTGGCCCACAGCTGACAAACCATTCTGGACCCAAGCTATGTTACATAACCCAAAGCCAAGCTGTGTGTAGATTGGGTGAACTGGAGAGCACCAGAGTGTCTCACCTCCTGGTCCAGCTCTTTGCCTAGGGCTAGGTAATTGCTTTTCAGAATGATGTACTCATCCGCCAGCTCCTTCCGGCTGGTCTCCAGGGCACGCAGGCCTTCCCGCAAGGCATCTTGCTCCCCAGTGACCTTCTCATTGCAGAGCTCCAGCTCCAGCACACGGGTCTCCAGGACCAGGATCTGCAGAGGGAAGGCAGCAGAATTAGACTGTGGCAGAGATTAGCAGAAGGGTATTTATTTGGCCAAATAGGTTCTGGACATGCTATGACTTAAAGAGAGATGAGTTTCATGTGAGTTTCTGGCCATTGCGGAGGAATCCCTTGCTTTAGCTAAAGCTAAGAGAATATGCCAAGCAAAATAAAGACGGATGTGCAACAGACTGCAGTTCTGGGTAAAGGTGTTGGCAGAGCTGAAACCAACTACTTCAAACTTTGGGATACCATGTTCTTCAGTTCAAAGTTCTCTGTCTCGTACTGCTCCTTCATTTTGTTTGTCTCGATCTGAAGATCAACGAGCCCTTTGGAAATCTAGGAGAGAGAAAGTATAGTACAAAGCCATGGATCCTGAGGCCAACACACTGTTCCAACAAGGAATTTGAGCACAACACACACTACCCCTAGAAAGAGGCATTTCCCACCAGGTTTTCCACCACAGGTCTATTGCTCTCATGTGACTTCATGGCTGTTCTCTCCAGCTCCCCAGGTATTTGTTTTACCTTCAGTTTTTCCTCTTCACTGAAGCCCATTCTGGCTGACAGATCTGGTTTGGAGCCAGCCAGCTTCCCCATCCTCTCAGGCAGGTCTCTGAGCCATCCCAACCTCTCATCCCCATCCTGCAGCTGCACCTAGGGACACACAACAGCTCCCACAGCTGGTGTCAGCCAGCAGAGCCCTCTGCTCCCACCGCAGCACTGTTGGAAAAGCACAGCACATCCAGCTGTTTGGAGCCTGAACAGACTGCAGATGGGATTTTCAGCTGCCATTTTCCACCTACAATTCAGATTTCATTTGCAGAATACTGGTTCCATGAGCTAGGAAAAGGCTGCAGCCCTTCATACTTAGATTTTTATTAGCAAGACATTGCATGTGTTCTGTCAGAGTACTTACATTCTCCTTCTCTGCAACAATTCCAAAATCCATGTGCTTGGAGGCCAAGGTCAACTTGCAGGGCAGCGACTGAAAAGCAAAGGCAGGATCTAAGGATCTCTATGGCACCAAATCTCCCCTTGAGGTCCGGCACAAGCCACGTTGCTATCAACTTTGGTTACCAGAGGGTGCGGCATCCACCTGGGGTTTAAGGTGGAGCCAGTTATTACAGTCACCCCAGCAGGTGTGTGTGTATGCCTTTGCTAGAGGCAAAGAAATGATGCTTGTCAAGAGGCTTCTGTATTCATGAGACATCACATGGCAGAGACTGAAACAAGAAGCTTAGCAGATACCTTCAGTGAAGCAATACTGCTAGCTGGGAGGTACCACTCTGTATTAAGGACCATTCCTAAAATCCAGATGTAGGGATGGCCTTCATCTCTATTGCAGGCATCTTTAGAGAATTTAAGATATGATTAACTCATTAATTAAACCATTCATCCAACCACCCAGCAGCATCTGTCAACTTGTTTCCAAGTTCTCTCGATCTCTGCCATCCTCGTATCTCTGTGCCAATGAGCCATCCAAAGGGTACCAGGGTGTTCAAGAATTGCCAGTTCTTCATCTCCTCACTTCAGGCTCATTATTGCTGCTATTTCTGGAGAGTGGGTGAGTTTAGGTAAGAACCTGTCACAGAAGGAAAACTTGATTCTGAAGAACTCCTTAGTACCTGTCAAAGCTAAGAGGAGAGAAGAGGGAGAGAAGCTCTGTGCTGAGCAGGGTTTACCAGCTCCTCTCCAGGTTGTTGGAGACCCTGTAGCCTCTTGACATGGATTGCATGGACCATGCAAGTGAGATCCAGGGGCTGAGTTCTTTTGGGACTCAGGGGAAGGAGAAGCTAACAAAACACGCAATTGTGTTATATTTCTGCGGAAAAACTTAGCAGACCTGAAGTAATTGTATTAAGGTAATGAAAGCGCTGATGTGAGCTCACATTCTCTTCACACCCACTGCTGAGCAGAAAGCCAAATTCACACACCGCCCACAGTGCCAAGGGGCTCACAGGTCTCCTACGGGTGCTACAGCACGTGAAAGAGCTGAGCTGTAGCTCTGCTCCCAGGGTGCACGCTGGCTCCTCCAGCCCCCAGGCCCACACTGGCCCACAGAGGACAGGAGTTCCCAGCACACACTGCCCAGAGAGGGGCACAGGGTGGCTCATGCCACTGCCACAGACAGCCCGTGCCCCGAGCACTGCAGAGACCCAATTCAGGAGATCAAACAGCCCACCCCTTCGTGCCAGCAAAGGTGGGTGCACCCTGAGCTGCAGCAGTGCCTGTTTCATAGAATCCCAGAATCCCAGACTGGTTTGGGCTGGAAGGGACCTTAAAGCTCACCAAGTTCCACCTCCCTGTCATAGGCAGGGACACCTTCCACTAGACCAGGCTGTCATTGAACACTGCCAGGGATGGGGCAGCCACAGCTTCTCTGGGCACCCTGTGCCAGCGCCTCAGCACCCTCACAGGGAAGAACTTCTGCCTAAGAGCTCATCTCAGTCTCCCCTGTCAGGTTAAAGCCATTCCCCCTCATCCTGTTCCTACAGGCCCTTGTCCAAAGCCCCTCTCCAGGTTTCTTGCAGCCCCTTTAGGCACTGGAGCTGCTCTAAGGTCTCCCTTAAGGAGCCTTCTCTTCTCCAGGCTGAACCAGCCCAGCTCTCTCAGCCTGGCTCCAGAGCAGAGCTGCTCCAGCCCTTGCAGCATCTCTGTGGCCTCCTCTGGACTCTCCATGTGCAGGACGTTGCACTTGGCCTTGCTGCACTCCACGAGGTTCACACTGTCCCACCTCCCCAGCCTGTCCAGGTCCCTCTGGATCCCATCCCTTCCCTCCAGCGCATTGACTGCAGCACACAGCTCCGTGTCATCAGCTAATGTGCTGAGGGTGCACTCAATCCTTCACTGTTTCACCTCACAGAGAGCAAGATAAGACACATATTAAAAATATAATAATATAACATATATAGTATAATTAAAATACACATAAAGAGTGTTACTTATGGTCCTGCAGTGCCTGAGAGGCTTTTGTTGCATGTGCCATCCCAGCACACGGAATGACAGCGACCACTTTTCCCGTGGTTTGGAAATACGAAGCAGATTTTGTCCTAGTGGATGTCTCTAACAGCAAAACGAATGAGGAACGAAGCTTCAGGGGGTCACTGCAACCCCGAATCCCCACCAGTGCTTCATGAGCTTCCAGCGCTAGCGAAGGGAGTCTACCCGCGCTCCGGACCCGCAGACACCCCCTGGGCAGCCAGTGGTGCTGCGGAGCTACCCCGATGTGCCCCCATCCCGCCCGGGCTGCCTGGAGCTGCCGCCGCCGCCCGGGGCAGGCCCCGCCGCCTCTCGTTTCCAGGGAAACGGGCACTTCCGGGTGAGGGCGGCGGAGCGGGAGTGCCCCCTGTCGGCGGGAGGTCTGTGCTGGCGGCTCCAGGCCAGCCTTGAGCCGGAGCCCCCTGCCCCGTGCTCCTTCCTTCTATCCAACCTAAATACATGCTCTTCCAGCCGAAAGCTGACACCTTTCTCCCGTCTCCACAGGTAAAAAGCCGCCCTCCATCATCCCTACTAGCCTCTGACATGCTGACGGGCTCCAGAAAGTCTTTTCCAGGCTCACCCACGCCACCTCTTCCAAGTCTTTTTCCACAGGAGAGTCCTTTCAGACCCTGGCTGCTCCCGTGATCCCCCCTGGACCCGCTCTGACAGCTCCAGCTCTGCCTCATGCTGGGACCCGGCGCTGGACCTGTGCTCCAGGATGGGGTCTCAGGAGACTCAGTGAGTAGAACCACGTCCCTTGTCCTGCTGGGCACGCTGCCTGTGATGCAGCACAGGAGTTTGCTGGGCTCCAAGTGCCCACTGATGGCTTATGTCCCATTTATCACACCCTGGCACCTTCACGTGCTTCCCCACAGGCTCCTGCCATGGGGCTGCTCCCGCCACCGCCATCAGCCTTGGAGCAGCCTCTGTGGGGCTTTGGGGAACGCACCAGCAGGAAGGTCTGGAGAGCTTATATGGGATATGGAAAATCATAGAATCCCAGCCTGGTTTGGGTTGGAAAGGACCTTAAAGCTCATCCAGTTCCAACCCCCTGCCACAGGCAGGGACACCTTCCACAAGACCAGGTTGCTCCAAGCCCCATCCAACCTGGCCTTGAACACTGCCAGGGATGGGGCAGCCACAGCTTCTCTGGGCACCCTGTGCCAGTGCCTCAGCACCCTCACAGAGAAGAACTTCTGCCTAAGAGCTCATCTCAGTCTCCCCTCTGTCATGTTAAAGCCATTCCCCCTTGTCCTGTCCCTACAGGCCCTTGTCCAAAGCCCCTCTCCAGGTTTCTTCTTGGCCCCCTATTACCCTTCCTACCCCCCAGCACACTGGCACTGTCATGGAGAGGAGTTAGGCAACGCAGCTGCTTCCCATGCCTCTGTTTGCCCCCGTATGCAGCTTCATTTTGGATGACAGCCGCCTCTAGGACAGGCTTTCCTGCCGTTCGCTGTCCCCATGTGCCTCCAAACCTTGCTCTCAGTGACAGCTCTTTTCCCCCAGACCTCAGGGGTTGGGACATTTCCCATGTGTGGCCACCCTGAGTCACAGCTCTGGGTTGTCCTCACCTTCCCCAGTCCAACCAGCCCAGCCAGGCAGGAGCTGGTGATGCAGTTTGATGTGGACACACGGGCCGCTGTGGTAATGGTGATGGTAATTACCACAGTGGTAATTACCACCTCCAAGCTCCAGCAGTGCATCAGCCACCTTGCCCAGCTCCCCACAGGAGCTGTGGTAGTCATGGCACATCTCCACCTGGAGATGCCAACAGGGACCTCTGCCAGCAGCTGCCAAAACCTTTCACCACCACTGCCAGGTCACCATCTCCAGTGACGTGGGACCTTTTGAGTGTGGGACCAGGAAACCAGGCAGAGCTCATCTCCAACTGGATCTTTTCCAGGAGGGAGCTTGGTCCCTGCAGGTGTCCCCAGGAGAGCAGCACAAGCTCTGGGATGCTGTTGTCACTCCTCCTGGCTCTCTTGGGCAGTAACATCAGGGCTCTGTATGAGGAGCAGCACCAGTTGCCCTGGCAATGCAAGATGTTCTCCTCTGGACTGGGACAATATTTGGCAAGATTTGCTAAAAGTACTCCCTGGTGATACCACCCGTGTCACATCCGTGCTCCCCACAGGGCTCGAGCCAGGTCAGTGCTGTGCCTGCTGGTACCCAGAGCTGGCTCATGAACATGCAGCCTGTGTAGGATGGGCTGGGAAGCTCCAGGAGTCCCACAGCAGACCTGGCAGGGCCACCAGCACGCATTCCTCTAGGGCAGCTGGGGACACAAGAGGGAGCTGGGGACAGCCAGTGGCATCTACACACATGATGGGATGCGGAGGGAGCTCCTGGGGAGGGACTTGCAGGCCCGGGAGGGTAAATGACTCTTTAGAGTTTAACTAGGTTTAAAAGCTATTTTGTTTATGATTTTGCTGCTTTTCCTAATACCATTACAGCCTTCCCCATGGCAACCAGGTGGGACAGCTCAGACTTTGGTCCCGGACAGGGAGATTAGCTGCTGGAGCTGAAACCATGGGGGATTGGCTGGGGAGGTCCACACTGGCCAGAGCCACCAGCCTACCCGTGGTGGGGTTGCACACTGAGGTCCCCATGGTGGCTGTGGTGCTGCTGCACAGGCACAAGGTCCAGGTGTGCAGGATGGGCTCATGGTGATGCTGGAGGGACCAGCCGGGGTGTCAGAGTATCCTCTGCTGCAGTGGTGGGACATGACTGGAGGAGGTGACCTCAAGAAGGTTTAAAGGTGGAAACAGGTCTAGCTCCTCCCTTCACCCCAGCCACGTTGGGAAGGGTTTATTATTGACCCTCTTTATTTTTCCTTTGAGCTCTTTTGGTATTTTCCCTGGAGAGGGTTGTTGGAGGCAGGGATGAACCTGCTCCCAGCCGCAGGTAGGGCTAGTTTAAACTTCCCAAAGAGGTTGTGTGGGTTTTGGCTGGCTGGCCCGTGCTGGTTCAGCTCTTTTCAGCTTCCAGATTGATTACACCTTGTGTCAATATGTGCTTAGTGCTTATTAGTGGGTGCGTGTATCTCCATCTCTCATTTGACCCTTCTCATCTATAATTTCCCAGAAGAGAGGATTAAAATAGAAGAGGGGGGAGAGCAGTGCTCAGGGCCTAAAAAGAAAGGGAGAAACCAGCACTTGTGGGAAAATTGAGTGGCAAAGCTAGAGCCTGGCTGTTGCTCTCCAGCACCTCTTCCCATGGGCACGGTGCTGCTTTGGCTGCTGAGATGGTTGCTTAAAACCACCTGAGTTGTGTGGTGAAGAACTGAGATGTGCCCTGCAGAGCAGAGGCCATGGCAGGCCCCCACGGGGATGGGTGAGGTAGGAGCACGGTGGGGGTGCCCATGGCACGGGGCTGGTGGTGGAGAGCATCCCTGTTCCACCTCCACCTCACCACCGGCACAACTCGAACCAGGGC